TGGACATTTGACTGACTCACGACTGCCATTCAGAAACTTGACAAACTCACGACTTCCATCCAGACACTTGACTGACTCACAACTGCCATCTAGAGCAGAGAAGAAGTCCCTCGAGCCCTCCTTCCGGCAAACCTGCAAGAAAGCACCACTCCCTGCTCAATACACAGTGTTTCGGGGAATTCACCCCTCATGCAGTTGAGCTTGAGTAGGCTGACGAACGTTGTGCTTAGCGACCAACATTCCTATAAACTTGTCGCCGAAGTCGCTACCACTGTAATTGTACATGCATATCATTATTTTGTGGCAGATTTAATCTTGCGACACTCCGGGCAGGTCCAGTTCTTGCGCTTTGGCTTACTCTTCAGCTGCAAACAAGCCATGTGGAACAAACGAATACTGCAATCGTTGTTGGAACATCGCAGTACCTCGCCAGCCTTCACAGACTTGCAGTAGCAAAACTCCGGAGGGCGTTCTTGATCCGCAGTAGATGTTGTACTGGCAGCACCAAGTGGTTCCGAGGCTGATGTAGCCGCTGAAGACGCATCGGCAGGAAGAGTGGAGAACGTCTTAGTGAACCATTTCCCAACAAGCTCTGGGAGAACAGCACACTGGAAGAATTTCTTGGCACCTGCTACCGCTTCACGGATGAAATCTGTGTCTGCACAGATACGCTCCACAAACAGCTGACCTTCATTCCACACAACAAAGTCACAGTACTGCACCTTACACACCAGCATCTGTAGCTGTACTTGGTAGTAGTACATGTGGTCTTGCTTAAGATGGAGTGCTCCGCCGGACTTTACTAGACAGAACTTCCCTGAATCGGCAGCATCATGCAGGCTACTGTCTCGGCACCCGTACGGGCACTTCACTTCCACCACGCCGTTGCCACAGCAGGAGCACTGCACAAGGGAGTCGGGAGTAGCGCCAAGATATGGATAGTCCGGATGAATTACAAAGCCACTGGGGAGTACTTCAACCTTCTGATGTGTTGCACTGGCATGTTCACTATAGTTGTCAATTGCCTTCTGCTCGTGATCACATCCCCATTGTGTGGCTTTGCTACGGAACTTGTGTGCCTCAGGGTAACACACAGAGCGGACTAAGGACGCAGAGGGCTGGCTAATATCCGTGCGAACAGCAGACTTCAACTTTGAAGCTGTGATCCGGCCGGCGCGAAATTCAAACCAGGCCTTGGAATCTGCCTGGTTCCGCGTAGCCTGTTCCACAGCGCGTGCTTCCTCCTCTGAAACACAGACCGCTGGAAATACTGCCTCGCAACGAACGAGCAGGTCCCCAAAACTAGCATCCAGCATGTCTGGTTCGTACAATAAATCCAAAATGGGTGGATATCCCTCGGGCTTGGAAGGTACGTACCTATCGCAGAACCCGGGAACAAGGGAGAGTAATGACGGTTTACCGGCTTGACATAAATTTCCATATAGTTCACCCAGCTCAGCACTGGAGGGTTGCTTAATATCAGCAGGGACCTTCTCCTCCGACCTACGGCGCTTGCTCCCATGCTGTTTAGTGTCGGGTGCAGTGAAGTTTATGTCACGAATCCTGGCATACTCCACCTCCTTCATTGAAGGAGTTGACCATTGGCACGGCAATGAAGTACTTCCTGTGTTCTGAATCAGCTGCGTTCTAGAATACAGGCTGAACAACAGTGCAGCAACGTGAGAACAAGACTCACCAAGACCAGCCATGCAGGTGCAGTGTGCACAAATCACGCTACCGTCGTTTTGCGCAGCAATCCAGGGTTGCAGATGGGTGCCGGAAACTGACTGGGAATGGCGGACTTTGGCGATGACAAACTTGCTGTCACATGTGTCAGATTCAGACGCTGGAAACGCACGAACATCGCCGACCCAGCCACTGACAAGGTATTTGTAGCCTTCCAAGCTCTTGTAGGCCTTGAGCTGCTCCTTGGTGTAGGGGCTGGGCGCGTTGACGAAGAAATTGTAAATATCGGGATAGTCCACAAGTGGAAATTTATCTTCCTCTAAAAAAATACTTCTGGGCAGGTAAGGATCACTCGAGTCTGGTGCAACGCGCTCGAGCTTTTCACGGTACCGGCATTTGCTGGAGTCATCTAACTCGTCATACACTTTTGAAAACTTGGGAGAAGTCATGGCCACTGATTCAGCGTTCGTACAATAGTCCTTTGTAAAGAACAGAAGAGGAACGTAACAGCGATACAGGAAATTTCCTTCGTGAAATTATTCCAGGCACATGTACTTCTTTTGAACTTTTCATCTCTTTTGCCACCCCTGCGGAGCGCGGCCGCTTTGGCCGCCTACACGCCGCCTGCACGTGATCCTTTCGCATAACCTCTATAGGCATTGCAATCACTGACTTTGCGTGTAGACACCCAAACAGCAAACAGCCGATCCCTCTCCAGTAGGAAAGGTTCAAGCTCTGCCTGACTATCCCGAAACCACTCCGGCTGTCTACGGCTCTCTCTGCCCAAGCAATCCTCTGCAACCTTGATAGTTGTTGTCTTGATGCAGGGCCGTAGCAGGCGGTCCGGCAGGTCCGGCAGCTGCCGGACCAATATTCGGCCAAAAAAAAAAAAAAAAAAAAAAAAAAAAAAAAAAAAAAAGGAGCTCACACATGTAAGCAGCTCAGGATGTCCACCCATGATGTGTGCAATAAGTAGAGCCGTAGTGAGGTATATAAGCAAGTAAGTAGAGGTAGTAGATTCTACATGGTAATAGCAAGAGGACACTACAACATCGAGTGATTACTTTGAAGTTTGAACTCTAGTTGTACTCAAGTACATGTCATGTACATGTTGTTGCGAATACCATGTACATAGATCTATGTGGGTGTTGTTCTCTACTTTATGACCTGCCATTCCTTCATTGCGATGTCCTTTCTCCTCCTCCAAGGGACCAAAGGTCCATTTTTGGTTCTTTTATCACATGCGTTCAGATACTGTTGCTATGCCTTCATAGGCTTCAACAAGTTCTGTTTGGACGGACACAACATGCTGATGCCCTTTTTCCTGACTCATGCAGAACATCCTTCTTCCTTTTCTCGCCCTATGTCACTCTGCATGGTCACAATTACATACAGTCATGTACATACTGGTACACGGACAATCATGTACATTTTGTACCTGTACAATGTACATGTATCGGCATATGTAGGAGTGTGGGCTCGGGTGGGGGGTGGGGGAGGCATCGAGGTCGGATCTTGCCGGACCAACCAATATGGGGCTGCTACGGGCCTGTTGATGGTAGTCCACCAGTCATCCAAGGATGGCTCATGCGACCAGGCTCCCTCCAACTCTGCATCCAGCATGTCGCGAAAGACCTTACGAGTGTCCGGTTCGTCATCTCCGCCAGGCTTGCACAACAGCTTGGACACAGCAATGGGTTTTCTGATGACAGCACGGGTACGATGGAAACAGGGATTCTCTGCCAGGCGCAATTTCATAGCCAAGAATTTATGATCGGTATCACATTCCGCAGACCGGATGACTTGGCAATCAATACACTGGGAGCGTCGGCTCTGAGGAATGATGCAGTAGTCAATGCAGTGAGGCTGTTTGTATCGAGGATGAAACCAGGTATGCTTATGAACATCATTCTTCCGAAACCACGTGTTACATATGAGGGCACCATTTCTGGACAAGAAATTGAGCAAATCCTCTCCAGCTGAGTTCATTCGACCAAAACCATGAGGGCCCCTGACACTTGACCAGTCACCATCCGCACCAGCACTGCCAACACGGGCGTTGAAGTCACCAAGAAGGACGAATTGATCGTTCCTGGGAATACTGTCAATGAAGGACTGGACATCTGCGTAGAATTGAGTTTTCTCCTCACGGGGCCTGACAAACGTGGGGGCATACGCCACAGCGAAGTGCAGGCAAGACACAGACCGATTCCGACCACATACAAACTTTACCTGCAATGACAGGAGTCTGGAGCCGACCGCCGTCCAGCGAGAGCCTCCGCGTTCAAATGCCTCCCTGCATCTGCCTCGCAAAACGACAGCAACCCCCTCACCACGACGAGCAGGCTCATCCCCAGTCGGTGTTGGGCGACCACTTGTCAAAACTAAGCAATCTCCGACAGTATATTGATGAGAGCCAAACCAAAGCGTCTCCTGGAGGCCAACGATGTCCATTCCATACTTTTTGAGCTGACGACACACAAGGTCAATTTTTCTCTCCTCGCGAATATTCGAACAAACTTTCCTTGATTTTTTTGCTTTGGACGCCGTATTCAAATTTCCGTCAGTGTCGACAAGAGTCCTGACGTTCCACGTTCCCAGAGACAGAACAACCTTTCGAGCCGCTGGTGCACGCGAGTGGAAAGACTCTGGGCGAGGGTTTGCAAGACCTCTACACCCAGGCGAAAGAGGGTCAGCGCGAGTGGTCACATCCGAAGTGGCCATGTCGTCAACGCTGAATTTTCCTCCTCCGCGGCAGCAAGATGAAGACTGCCTTGTCTAACACCGCGTCACAAAGTGTTTTCTACTCACCAGGGCTGGCCCTGGCAGAAGCCAGGAGCCAGCCCGTGGCCCTAAACTCACTACGAAGAAAGAAGAGTTCGGAGCTCCAAAAACTGCTTCCTCCTCTCTCAAGAGAAAGACACACACACACACACACACACACACACACACACACACACACACACACACATTCACACGCACATATACCTTTAAAAACCTTTGAACCTTGAACGCCCATTGTCGTAGCAATGATAGCGATGGCTTCCTCACGCTGAGACTCATATACACACACACACACGTACGCTCGTACGCACTCACGCACACACACACACGCACACACACACACACACACACACACACACACACACACACACACACACACACACACAATACTTCCAATCAGAATGCATGCTCCTGACTGTGATGAAAAGGAAACACGTCACCGCAACCAAGGCATAAACAGTGGAAACCTCCTGGCAGACCCCCCCCCCCCCCACACACACACATTACATATTTTTAGGGTTCAAACTCACCACAATCATCACATAATGTTGCTGGTGCTGATGGAGGTTTTCTACCAATTGCGGCAAGCCAGCAAATCTATCAGGGTCGATGGTGAAGTCCAGATGGTTTTGCATGTAGTCAATATCTGTCCATTGCGTATCCTGTGACAATGGTGAGATAACACGTGGAAGGGAACAAAGAAAATTCAGAGAGAGAGAGAGAGGGAGAGGGAGAGAGAGAGAGAGAGTGTGTGTGTGTGTGTGTGTGTGTGTGTGTGTGTGTGTGTGTGTGTGTGTGTGTGTGTGTGTGTGAGAGAGAGAGAGAGAGAGAGAGAGAGAGAGAGAGAGAGAGAGAGAGAGAGAGAGAGAGAGACAGAGAGAGATAGATAGATAGATAGAGAGAGAGAGGCTGAAAGTCACCCCGGCACAGCTTTTAACGTTATAAACACGACGCAAAGAAGCCTTTTCCTGGACACGTACCGTCCAGGGCTGCACCCCACTACTGCTACTTCTTACTTACATATGGCATCTTGGCCGCTCTCATTCTCTCCACAACCTCCATTGTGTGTGCACTCGTCTCGTAGCCCCAGCGACACAGGTGAAACCCCAGGGCCCAGTACGGCGGGAAGAACGGCCGGCCGACGAGCTGCGGCAAACAGAAACATGAAGAAACAACGAACGGGCGATGACAGGAATCCATGTAGCCAGCACAGTGATGGGGCGTCAGGAGGTGTACTCTGGTGGCTTCCCATCGCAGGGCACAGTACATAAAACCAACAAGATACAGTAATGCCACAACCACATATTTCTCTGCCGTTATTCAGAGTTTCATGTTTTCAAGAAACTCTAACAAACTCTAAACAAATAAGACAGATAGGTCTATCTGTGCCATTCTGGGTAAAAGGTTCAGAAAATTCGCTGTTCAAAATTTCTCGACCGTGTCAGGGGTATTGGAGAGTATTATCAGGTGGCACAGTCAACTATCGTACGTACTCCTTCCAGGGCATGACCTTTCGATTTTTTTATAAAGCCCAAATCATCACATTTTAATTTTTTTTATTGATTCACGGCGCACCCGGGACAAAGAGTGGTACAGTCAATAATGTAGTGACCGTAGCGTGTCCGACGGCCCTGAGTGTTCGGTCCCAGCTCTGGCTCGCTATGTATACCGCAGTAAGACCCATAGGAACCAGAAACATAGCAAGTATTGAATATTGTTTGCCTGATGATTGCACACGGCGCAGGAAACTCAGAGTGGCAAAACACTACGAGTGATCCATTGTTTGTTGACATGAAACATAGCAAGTACAGTAAAACCGGGGTTTAGCGACCGTTTTTCCATGCACCGACAGTTCTGCACACAGACACTGTGGTACCTGGTTCTAAAGACCACCTGGCTTTAACGACCGCTTCTGCTTGCACCGTGTGGTGGTCGCTTAAACCAGGTTTTGCTGTATGACCATGAGCCTTTCCAGGAAGCCCTAGATAGTGAAGATTGAGTGAGTAGACACAAAGAACACCAAAGATGCCCGAATTTTGAAATTTCTCCTCTGTCCCTCAAAGGGCTTTTAAACCTACCTCGGTGTACTGCTGCACGACATTATCCGCTGTGGGGCCGAGGAAGATGTAAAAATCCAGAACACCGCCGGTAGTGCGGTATGTGATGGCCGGCGTTGGCGACAGAATGATATCTGAAAGTAGACAAGATTGATAGGTGAGATGAGTTACCTGGTTCGTAATTGTCGCTGACCTGCACATTGATATTTGAAACTCGGGTATTGAGCCAATAATAAAAGTAGAAAGGAAAAGGACATTATGGAAACGAGTTAAGAGTGACTGTATATAGTATCTAGTTACAGTGGTGGAGGGTTACTCTTAACTCGTTTCCATATGTCCTTTTCCTTTCTACATTGATATTTGTTTGATATTTATTTATTTGTACCTTTGCAGCACTGCACAGTTTGTATGAGGACTTGGAGATTTATGCAGTGCATGTCTACAGCTTATTCGAATGCGTGCCTACTGCGCTGCTTTGTTCGGATGCGTGCGAATTGCGCAGTACTACCGTATTTGCCCGTAAGTTAGTTCTCCCCAATGACTTAGTACCCCCCCTATAAAAAATACACTTTCCACTGCCGAGGTTATCACCCCGAAAGACAGTTCCCCCCGAAAGATAGTAAGTTCGTACCCGTCCTACATGTACAGACACCGTACAGTGCATACATCATATGCACGGACACTAGAGTTGCGCAGGCTTCCCACTGCGTGTCATTTACCTCCGATAAAAAAGTACTCCCCGAAAGATAGTACCACCCCCGAAAGTTTAGTACTCATGTGGCTGCTAAGTTCGAAAGTTAGTACGTACTAACTTACGGGGAAATACAGTAGTCCCTTGTATAGTACGCGAGTTGTAGTGCGGGTTAGCATACAGGTGTGAACGCTACGCACTTTTCATGCAAGCTACTTTTCTGGATTCTGTACTTGCTTTCATGCACGTGTCGCTGGCATACGCGATACGGGCCGGGTTTGTGTATTGGTTTTGAACCTTGTGGTTCTTCTTTTCAGTTTTAGTTGTTCTTTGGTTGCTCCGCGAGTTGTTGCTTTGGTTGGAGACAAAGATGGCTTTCCGTTTCAGTAATATAATGTAATGTAACTATAACTGATAGTATACTGTTGAGTGTTGGGATGCGTTGGGACCCCGACACCAATAGTAATAGTAACTGGTTTGAATTGGGTTCTAACGAATACAGTGAATGTGAACGTCAGGACGTACTTGGCCGGGAGAGCAGAGAGGTTTCGCACTGCGGACAACGTGACTACTTGATGTGTTCGAGGGTCACGTGTGACGTTCGGCAGCGAGGCCGATGAGCGCTGGCAACGTGGACATCGGTCTCATCACGTTGGCGCTTGACGGCCCCGTACTCGCGATTGATGAAAGGTGCTAACGGCTAACCGGGGAAGGTTGAGGTGGGTTTTGAGGAGTAAACCTGATTTTGCAAGAAACCGGGCACGGCGAGATTTTCCGTCACGCGTGGAACGGACTCATTGCAAATTTTGCATCTTTATGCGCTCAAAACTCGATCAGCGTTGTTGTCGAAAGCTATTTTCATGCGTGGCACGCATGTGAACAGCCTCCCAGACGGCCTTGTCACGTTGCCCGCCGTGCGAAACCTCTCTAATACCGTATCGTTACTCCCGCGTCCTCCCCCTAACACACACACACACACACACACGCACGCACACACACACGCACACACCAACCATCGCCTTACCCATAGCATTGCTGTTTCTGAACAGGACTCCATGCGTTCTTCCATCAGGCTCGACACACATATACATCGGTTGGACGCCGTACAAATTCCAAGATGTATCCTACAAGCACGCAGCACACAGCCAGAACTGCATTTGGCTTACACCCTCAGTCCTTAGTGGACAGATGACTGATCACGGGTTTTCGGTTTCCGGCTCTGAATAGTGTGATCGTTGGAAACGTAAGGAAGCAGTAAGAAGGAATTCTTTCCTGAGGCACGTGTGTGTGTGTGTCTCTCTCTCTTCTCTCACACTCACCAGGGATGAATTTACTGTCATGTTTGTGCATAGCAGTTTCTGCTATGCACAAACACAATTGTGTAGCAGTCTTTGATTTTGATTAGCGTTTTTCTTTGAAGGTTGGGTGTTTATCACATTGTCCTTGTTGGCAGGGATGCCTGAAAGCCCATTTGCAAAAAACCCACTGAAGCATACAAGTTCACGCAGGTTGAGAGTACCTGCACCATATACACGGTGTTGCATGCATGTTTCTTGACAGAGCAGATAGTCTGTATGTATCGCAATTTTCTGCTAGTCACGGTGACTTTTGAGTAGCAGTAGATCGATTTTGCATCGCAAACTGCGATGCGATACAGGATAAATTCATCCCTGCTCACACACAAGCACACACACAAGCACACTAGTGCTCCCCCCCCCCCCCCCGCGCGCACGTACACACACACACGTACACACACACACACACACACACACACACACACACACACACACAAACAAACACACACACTCACACTCGTACATGTAGCCCCCCCCCCCCCCACACACACACGTACGCCCACGTGCACACACACATACGCACACGCGCACCATGAAAGGAAGTGAAACTCACATCGGGAAATGCATCACGTGCGAACAGCGTGACACGTGTCCAGTTGACGCTATGCAGCAGATCCCCGACGTGCTCTCCGAGTCCATACACGTACTTGCTGGGCAGGGCACTGCTGATCTGCAGGAACTGGTTGCTGTAGATCAGTGCTCCCAGGGATGTGTTGAACCTGCATATATGCACATGTGTGTGGATGTGATGTGCGGGAGGGCCAGTAGTTCATAGTATTTTCTTTGTAGAAAATATATTTTTCCACAAACAAACTATGAACCACTGTTCAAACATACATACATAAATTCTCTTCTTAAGTGCGCCTCATAGTCAGCTAAATATGGTACCGGTACTCGAGTCAGTATACGTCTCTCAACCCTGTGCTGACACTGAGCTTATCCACATCCATACAGGACTACAGCTACAGCTTCAGTACTCACAGTTCAGGGGAGGTTCTCTTATTGGCCACAGGCCATAATGAGAATAAAAGATTAACCAACAGCAGCAGCAGTAGCAACAACAGCAGCAGCAGCAGCAGCAGCAGCAGCAGCAGCAGCAGCAACAACAACAAGAGCAGCAGCAGCAGCAGCAGCAACAACAGCAACAGCACTCACAGTTCGGTGGTGGTGTCGGATCTGCGTACGCTGATGGAGAACGCCCATCCCGCACTGCTTGTGGACACGGTGTACTTGCGCGTGACCGGTGACGATGTTCCACGCTTGTAGAGCGGCAAAGGCACCTCGTACCGATCGGCTTTGTTGTCCACAATCTAGAAATCCACACAACAATAGAGTGCTTTCGCATCTATCACATGACCATAAATGGCAGCCATGTTGGTTCCAACTCCACACAACCCCTGCATCTATGGGTCACGTGATGTCGGCCATGTCGGTTCCAACTCCACTCAACCCCTGCATCTATAGGTCACGTGATGTCGGCCATGTTGGTTCCAACTCTACTCAACCCATGCATCTATGGGTTACGTGATGTCGGCCATGTTGGTTCCAACTCCACTCAACCCCTGCATCAATGGGTCACGTGATGTCGGCCATGTTGGTTCCAACTCCACTCAACCCCTGCATCTATGGTTCACATGATGTCAGCCGTGTTTGTTCCACTGTCCACATGACGTGATCACTTTCTACATAAATTTAGTCACATGACGAAGATATGGAACCACTGTATTGACAGCTGGAATTTGTGATCTGATTGGCACAATACGGTGAATAGTGTGTTTACAGTCTGTATCACAATTCAATTCATGGGTTCAGTCGAAACTATAGCAGGGGCGTCGGACACGCTACGGTAACTACGGTATTGACCGCACCACTCTTTGCCCCGGGATACCTCGTGAATCAATCAAAAGCACTGATTCTGGGCTCTAAATTCCAGGACTCTTCTGCGGAGCCCCCCCCCCCCCCCCCAACAAGTAAATTGAGCCTTGGATGGCTGACCGCGCCACCCTAAATCACCTTCCGAGTTCCGATGCCCCTGAATAGACAGCAGCACTCTGTGATGATGTTACTGACATCACCTGGTAGAAGGCTGTAGGACTGTACTGTCAGCCATACAGTCACGTGCAAACAATTTCCCTCCATCTACCTGCAATACCCCCCCCCCCCCCCCACACCCACACACGCCCCCCCCCCCCCCCCCCCACACCCCACACACACACTCACGCACACCTCACCTTGATCCTCAGGCGATTGTCGGTTTCCTGGTAGACCTCAACGCGTAGCTCGTCGATGGCTTCCGGATACGGAGACGGATAGCGGGTGCGGTTGTTGTTCAACACCATCTGAAACGCGTTCGGAATTCCGGGAATGTTGGTCACCGTGGAAACGCGATACCCATAATACGCCGGGTAGTAGCAAGCGGGCTCACCTAGAATGCCTCCGCCGCGGGCCGGTGACGATCCGTCCCAGCAGCACCCCCGCGCCAGGCAGTCTCCCTCCGTTGCCGTGGCGTTGGCCTCCGGGTAGCAGTCGACGCGGCGACCGAGCGACACTCCGGGGCCATCCGCGCACGACGCCACCGGGCCCGTTGTCGGGACGATCGGCCCGGCCGTGGGCCCGAGCTCCGCCGGTTTCTGGGCTGTGTTCACGACGAAGTAGATCACCACGCCAACGAGCGCCGCCACCAGTAGCGCCATGACGACGCCAAGCGGTCCGCGATGGCGGCTCGCGAACGACCTCCTCTTGCTCAGCGAGAGTGAAGTCTCGGCAGCCACTCGTCCCGACACCACCAGGTCAGTCTCATCCTCATCATCGTTGTCCTGGAACAGCAGTCGCCTGGCACCGCCGCCACCGCCGGATTTCTCGCCCGACAGCAGCGATGCTTTCTCACCGCTCGCCGAGTAGCTGGCACTGCCTCCGAAGTGGCTTTCGTGACTGGACGGGGGTTCCCCTGCACTGGCCATAACTATCTACAGACTATGGAGTATGGTCCTTCGCGATTTGCTCAAAATAATGTCGGCCGCAGAGCCAGCCAGCCGTAGCAGCGTGGAGTACGAGCTGCAGCACCACTTCAAACACCACGTGAGCAGCAATTAGCAAATCCTTGTGACAATCAATTCAAAGGGGGCGCGACGGTGGTGCCGCAAACCGGATCACACACTTAGCCACTAACTACACTGCATTGAACGAGGACCTACTATACTGAACCCGAAACAAAAATATTTCTACAAGCAATGAGTGACAATGTCTTGTACTCCTGATATTGAGGGATTCAAGGACGACCATATACCACCCAGCAGTAGCAAACAAAAGTCAGTCCTGGCTACATAGCGAATAGTACTCACAATCGCGCCTGGCCTGGATCTACCAACATCTCTTGGATCCCTGCAAGATTTCCAGCAAACTAACTACTTACAGTACTTACTTCACGGGGTCCAAAAGTGGAGAAACACTTCTTTGCCAGGTTTTGGACTTTCAACCTACTTTACAAAATGTACCTGTTTATTAATTTTTATTTTTCCCATTTCCCTGCCATGCATGCTTCGTCGCCCGCGCGCGCCCTCCTAGCTATCCGGATCTGCTTTTCCGCCCGACCGCCCGGTCCCCAGCGCGCCGCGCGGCCTCTGCAGGATCGACTAACACTTGAAAAGGCTGGACAGAGTTGCCTCACGTGACCTGTCAGTATCGAGGAGCGAGCAGGTGTTTGCTGTTTTGCATGGTTTGTGCTGACTCAAACCACTGCAAACCCCTCGAAGCCTCGCCCTGGCCATAATAATACGTATCTAATATTGACTGAGTACGAGGTCAATAAAGGAAATAAAAGCCGAGTAAAAGACCAAGGCGAAGCCGAGGTCTTTTACGAGGTCTTTTATTTCCTATACTGACCAAGTACGAAGTCAATATTAGATTTATCACGACTAGCCAAAGCGTGTGTTCAATCGCTAAAAAAGAGTCAAATAAGCGGTCAAAATAGCCCTAATTAGGAGTGAAGTATGCAGGAATATTTGACTGCTTAGGTATGGCAAAAATCTATGGGAGTCAATACTAAGGGAGTGATAACAGATGATACAGTCTGCGATTTTTTCTGAGTAGAGAATCGCACTAAATAATTTTACACTTTGTCCTTCCATGATCCAGACTGCGACTCGAATGAGTTGACGTGCCAGTTGAAGTCTGAACGGTAGATCTACGAGCGAAGCCAGGGCCCGGTTGCCCAGGACTCGTAGATCTACCCGACAAGCTGCAGTTTGGACCTGGTGCCGCTGGAGTCTGCATGGCTGCCACGTGTCATTGGACTCAGACTCCGGAGCTGCTACAGGATGACTGATGTGTGTCAGTGTGTGCTTTCTTCTACTTTGATACAAGGGAGTAAAGTAGCCTGGAGCTGAAATTAATAATAATAATTGCTCCAAGTACTCCGTTATCTTCTTTTATCACACTGGTGCTCCCTACAAGTAAAAGTGCGACTGATCGACTGCCTGAATCTGTGGAGGACATACAGTAGCGCGACCAGGGCAGTGGTCCACATCGTTCCAAGTCCGTTCACTATGCTCTGACACAAGGTTTGTCTGTGCGGAGTCCAGGCCAACGTGCTTGGATTTATCATCGGGCAGTGCTGCCGCTGGTCGAAATTAATTTTATCGAGTTGGAGCACAATCTACAGTCAGTGCAGTCAGCTTGTGTGTGTGTGTGTGTGTGTGTGTGTGTGTGCAACGCCCTGTCTGCACTTCACTAGCCAGTCGCTGTCGGTGTGAAGTGCGGGTCAGCGAGCTACCAAGTACCAGTACTACTGGCAGTAGCTCTGTTGAGAATCGTGTAAAACGCTGTGTTTCTTCCGGATTGTGGATCAAGACGGATTTTCACAGTGGACAAAGGATAGTAAACCCATCTACATCATCGACCCCCCACCCTCTCCCCCGATCCCCCCCCCCCCCCCCCCCTGTGTGGTGGTGGTGGGTTTGTGGGCAATCATCAAGTTTCACCTTGCATTACTGATTCTTGAAACCCTGAGATCAGCAGTTAAGATGCTACTGACGTGGTCTAGGCATGGCAACACTGGCTGCCTGCAGCTTGTCCTCCTATGCACTGTCACTGCCCTGGTTGCCATTGTCAACGGTAACGGTGCCAGTGCCGAGGAGACCGGTGATGGCAGCGACGAGCAGCTCATGAGTTCCGGCGGTGGAGAATTCCCTTCAGGTGGCGGGGACGGCGACGAAGCGTGCTCGGCCGACAGACGCACTGGGGGCAAGTGTGGCGGGGGCGAGGCCCACAAGTCCGCGCTAGTACCCGACGGCTATATGCAGCCACTCGGCAGTCACCAGGCACCCGAGCCCGACCTGGCCGAGTTCGATAGCTTCGTGGACGCGGAGATGTTCTACCGTGACGTGGTGCAGAACGACGAGCCGGTCGTCTTTCGGCAAGTCTTGGACATGGATTCGGTGAGCAATCTCAACAACGACACGTGGCTGACGCGCGAGTTTGGTCATGTGACCGTCACCGTGGAGGAGATGAAGAAAGAGCGGCGAGAGGGTCCTGCCATTGCCATGACGATGGGCGACTTCCTCGGCGCGTACAACCGGAGCGAGGTGTACCTCGCGGACGACGTGCCAGTGGACCTGCGCATGCATTGGCGCATACCGGCCATGCTGCTGTGCGGCGGGTTCGCGGAGCGCATCACGTCCATACGCATGTGGTTAAGTAGCGGCGGTACATCGTCGGTGCTGCACACGGATACCGTGGACAACCTTCACTGCCTGCTGGACGGCACCAAGCACTTCGTGATGATCGACAGGCGCGACGCCGAGCACATCGGCATGGACCGCAAGCAGGACGGCAGCTATCTGATGGACGTGGATCGAGTGGACACGCTCCAGTACAACATGACCGGCGTGCGCTGGTGGAACGTCACGGTACGCCCTGGAGACTGCCTATACATACCGACGCTCTGGGTGCATCAGGTGCGCTCGGACGGACCGCGCAACCTCGGCGTCAACTTGTGGTGGCGGCCGCTGAAGTTCTTCGACGACTCGAAGTGCAAGGAGATGGAGGAGCGGTTCGACTGCCGCCCCGCGGGTCACGACGGCTGCGCAGACGGCATACCGGCGTCAGAGCTGGTGATGGTGGATGACGCGGCGCACGTCATGGCAACGCTGCAGTCCCTGGTGGACGACGATGGACGTCTGTACAGGGCCGACGTCGTCGCGGCGATGCCACAGGAGTTCCACGCGCTGACGTCGCAGCTGGCCGCCGAGTTCTACGACGAGCTGGCCGGGCCACTGGGTAACCTTGACTACATGGACGCGGCGGAGCTCTCCATGGAGCGGCTACTGCAGGCGGGTCACACGGTGATGAAGAGCACGCACGGTGGTGGGGATGTGAGCAGCTCGCTGCTGGAACAGGGTGATGACGGATCTGAGGGTGAGATCATGCTGGAGGACAGCGTGGACGAGCTGGAAGCGGACGAGGGCGAGCAGCTGCAGATGGAACGCTACCAAGATGAACACCAGGATCATGACGGTGAGGAGACGGTGATCATGCGCGAGTCCGCGCCCGACGAGGGCATTCTGCTGCGCGACGAGTGAGAACCGTGAGCGCACCCGATGCTTCCAGTACAGGCGGATCTGCATGACATTGTGTAAGAGGACACAAGTAAGACCGTCTGCAAATACCCGACTGCTTTGATGAACAGGTGCCAAGCAAAGTCTTCATTGACCTCAAGAGTGCTCACGCGGCAATACACGATAACCGTTTATCTGTGAAACGATTGAAGCCTCTTCATAAAATTATAAGACGTGTGGCTAACACGTTCGGCTGCGTACTTTGTTTCAATGTTGGCATTTCACTTGAGGTCTCTAAACGGTTCCAATCGTCTAGACTACTAGTATATGTAGCTTTGACCTTTGGAAGAGTTGCCTTCTTTCCTTCGCTGGTCGGAGAAAGTAATGATGCTGTGAACCTTGTTCAGCCTTCTTTCGGAGTCGGAGCTTTAGCTCCGTTAGCTGGTGCGAATAATGGCGCCTTCTTTCAAGTAAAGATATATCTTTTATTTGTATAAATTTCTGAAATTGTTAGTTCGAAAATGGGTTCTTCCTTTGCACATGTTTTGTGAAGGATGACACTTGCTATCTTCTCAAATTTCGAAACATTTGTTTTATAGCTTTTTCAATTTCACAATGGCCTGGCTTTTCTGTTCAGTCGGGAAAGTATTGGACATGTGTGTACATGTACAAACTACGAACTACTGTAAAACCGGAAAGTCTAACGAGCCACAAAGTCTAACGTTTTAACGACCAATTATTTTTCGTTATTTGAAAAAAACCCGTTATCGTTACATGTCTGTGTAAATATGCGCATACAGATGGGTGGCCAGGTAGCCATCGTTAAACTGTCTGCAGGTAATCATGCCACGATTACAAAAACGTTAACCTTTTTTCGGTCTTTAGACTTTCCGGTTTTACAATATATCCTTTTCATCTTTCTATCACTTGCTTATAGAAGAAGCCTGCCGTGTGCTGCTCTCAGCATCTCGCTGCAGCCAACGAATCAAATTGAATTCGTTCCAAATCCTCACGTGCAAAGTGGGTATTTTCCTTGTCGAAAATTATGACCCTTGCAGGGCCGTAGCAACGGGATTTCCGGTGGTCCCTGGTCAAATGCATGGTATACTTGAACAGAAATTGACAAAACACCTGTTTTGCGTGAATTTTATGGTCAACATTTTCACCGAAATCTTGAAGGTCTGGCCGTGGCCGGACGGAGTGCTACAGCCCTATCCTGTTGTTACCAGTGAACATCTATTTTACTGAGAAAAAGTGTGTGCACGATTCTTCAGCCTTGCAAGCTGTTGAATGGTGCAATCCCAGAACAAGCTGCTATGACTTCTGCCGTAGCATCGCTGTCATCGCCTCCGGCGATGGGCGTCCAATGGTCCAATGGTGTGCACGATGTGTGTGCGTGTGTGTGTGTGTGTGTTTGTGTGTGTGTGGTGCAGTGGCATGTGCAGTCGATTTCCAACGGAGAGGTTGCGGGTTTAATTGCCGACATCACGGTAACACAAGTCTTCCTTCTATTTCTCATTCTCCTAGGTCTTCTTTCCTTCTCCTGGTTGGTTACCAACAGCCAGTGCATGCTCGAGGATGTGGTGTGATGTGCGTGTGATGTGCGTGTGGGGGAAAAAAAGAAAAAATACTTTGAAGTAGCTATTCACCGGCCAGAAAATGTGTGTGTGTGTGTGTGTGTGTGTGTGTGTGTGTGTGTGTGTGTGTGTGCGTGTGTGTGTGTGTGCGCACGCGCGTGCGTGCAAACTGCTATAACCCGTGCTATTGAGAGAAGAGGTACACCATGTGTCCCCAGTATGCCACAGATTCCGCCGTAGCCATCCACTAGATCCATACATTTTCGCTGCACTCTCTGAGCAGTCTCTGAGCAGTCTCTGGGTAGTGCACAGTTGAAATGACCGTAACGGCGGAAGCAGTTTTTGAATTAATCCGGACATACCATGGCCCGTCACACACTTTGCATGATAGGGGAGGGGCATGACCACCTCGCGTGTTGGTGACCACAGGGTTGGTCCGGCCAGGGCCTGACCAACCGGACCGGTTTCGCCGAACCTGAATGAATAGCGTGCATTCGTCGTTCAGTGTGCCGCTTCGCGCGGGAACATCCTCAACACCATCTCGGTGGGATGGTAGGCTATGCGAAAGCGCGGCTTCACGTCCTCGGTCACCAGCTCGAAGCGATAGCGCTGTACCCAGACGGCAAACACAGATCGCAACGCCTGCACGGCCAGCGGCTTACCAAAGCAACGGAACGGGCCGTTGCCAAACGCCAGCGAGTGCGTCCCGGGCTTTTTGGCTCCGCCCTTGGGGTCGTTGAGCCATCGGTCCGGTAAGAACTGCCCCGCGTTGTCGAACACCTCCTCGCACTTAGCTGGGTCCTTGGAAAAGCACAGCAAGGTGTGATCCTTGGGGACGACATATCCTATGTTGAATAGAAGCAGAGGGGAAAAGACCGCACGTGAACAGTGTTAGAGGGGGATACACCCTGAATGTGTATGGCTAGAGGGGAAACCCCAGTGTGATCCATGGGGATGACATAACCTACCTGTATGTTCAATAGAAGGAGAGGGGAAACACCAGGCATGACCAACGGTAGAGGGGAAAACACCGCACATTACAGGGGTGGAGGGGAAACCCCAGGCAGGAACAGGGGTGGGGAACCCCCAGGCGCTGAACAGTGTAGGGGGAGCCCCAAGAATGAACAGGAGTAGAGGAGAAACCCCGAGCATGAACAGGGGTAAAGGGGAAAACTGAGGCATATACAGGAGTGGAGGGAGAACACTGGGCATGGCCAAGAGCAGAGGGGCACCCCCCCCCCCCCCTGAGGGCATGAACAGGGGTTGAAGGGGAACCGGGTAGTGTGGGATTATGGGGTAGACCCCGGGTTCGAATGCAGGTGTGCAGGGGAAATGCGGATGGTGCAAGATCAGGTGGCGTTGGAACTCACCTCGTAGTGGCAGATCTTCAACTACCTCACGACTGACGGTACGGGTGATGGGCGTGAGTCGATTGGTCTCGTCCATCACACCGTGTAGATAGGTCATCTGATCCAGGTCTGAGAGCGAGGGAACAGTTCCCTGAGGATATGATGACATCACACCACGCACTTCCTCATAGCAACGCTGCTGACATTCTGGGTTCAGGGCTGCAGTGGGAAGCACGACAGGAAGCGAAAATAGGCCATGATTGAGAGATCACATTTGCTAGACACATGTTGCTTTTCGCGTCAAACATGGCTCCCTGTGTGTGTGTGTGTGTGTGTGTGTGTGTGTGTGTGTGTATGTGTGTGTGTGTGTGTGTGTGTGTGTGTGTGTGTGTCCTGCTCAATACACAGTGTTTCAGGGGGAGGGGAGGGGGGGGGGTCGACGTGCTTCTCGTGTGCTCCAGATGGCAGTTGTGAGTCAGTCAAGTGTCAAGTTCGGCAAGAAGCGTGTGTTCCTCGTTGGAACAACCAACTTCATGACCAATACCGGCGAAGTCGCAACTTCTAAGTTCGTGAGCTTACCGAGGTGGTAGAACACCCATAAGATCGTGTTCGCCGTTGTTTCATAGGAAACGACCATCATGAGCATCGCCTCGTCAACAATCTCGTCTTCCGTGAATGCGGCCACTTCGTCATCTCCCTCTGTCAGCATCAACGTCAGAGCATCATTCGGCACATCAAGCCCTTCCTGTATATCGTGCTGTCGCTCGCGAATGGCCGGCAGCACAAGTTCGTCGCGGAAGAATTGGTGAACGTCGGCGATTTTACGATTCTGCCAGTAGTTTATGTACGAGAGGAACATAAGGGGACCAGCGGTGGAGACTCGGGCGGCGAATGCGTCGAATAGTATGTTCATACCAGCATGAAGATGTTGCCTCCGCTCCACATCCTCTGGGGTTTTGTCAGACAGCGAGGCAGACAGGCCCAGACCGAAGGAATACTGCGAAAACACGTCCACCATCATGATGCCAACTGGGCAATCGTCCAGGAGGTCTAACTCGATGGATGACTGTCCGGCCTGGGGCTGCGTCTGCAGAGTCTGCAGGAATGCCTCCGTGACGTCACCGGTCAGCTCCACAAACCGGTCCAGCGCCTTTCGGCTCATCACGCTGGAGGCGAGCAGCTTGCGATGTCGCTTCAGCTCCTCGCCACGCAGCGCTGCCAGCGCCTTCTTTCCCATGACGGTTCCGACGCTCCTCTCCAAGGACTGGAAGCGCGTCGTTTTGCTGCTCATGGTGGCAGCGGCGATCAGCTCGGGATCCGTGACGGTGTACACCGGCTTTGCTAGCCACTTGGGCCCGTACAGGTGGAGAGCCATGACCGGTTCCGGAGCCTGGCCGACCAGCTCGTACAGATTCATGGCGTACTGACCTGCGTCGACGTTGTTGTGGCTGACAATGTAGCCTATATGACCCGTCCAGTGGCTGTAGCCCACCTCCAGCGAGTTGGGAATTTTTCCTGAGACGTTCGTGGCCACACGCGTCCTGCGCAGATACCACACGGCCAACAGTAGAGGCACTCCGCAGCAGAGCAGTAGTTGCGCAACGTCAAACTGCATGCTTGCACGTCGTTGCCACGAAGCAGGCAAGGAAGTAGCGAAGAGAGGAAAGGAAAAATAGCACCAAACCTCCTCCAAGCGTGAAAACGAGAAGTACCCAGTCCGCTCCTGTCGTTTGTACCTGTTCCGGCTTGTACTTTTCTGGCAAGTAACAATACAATGTCGTGTACATGGTTTTCGTGCTCGTTGGTACGGTTGCAGCTTGCAGCTTGGCTGCTTCTTGACTTGTTCTGGGCGAAGATCTCGCTCTGCATACCTCGACTCTACGAAGCCCAAGTAGGCCGCGAGTTCGGGAAGCAGCATGCAGTTCAAGGTTTGCTGTGTAGTAACATAATAACGTGTGGTCTTGTGTTCACGTGGTCTGGATGGCGAGTCGGAGGCGCTAGGCAGGAGTAGATTGTGAGTCAACGTTGCGGACAGCTTTGGAAGCTGATCGTCATAAGAAGGATGTACTAGCGCAATGGCTTACCTCTGACAATGACAGTTCAGTAGTGGCTCTTTCGCCGCTGGCGCTGGCCAATCCGTGTTTCCTGCACAGCCAACCTTGCACACCTCCATGGACAGATGTTAGGAAGAGTGGTTGACGCCTGACCGCTGCTACAGGAGCTCGCAAGATCGAAACAGCTAGCTGTCCGGAGTGGCGGAGATTTTAAATTAAGTTGTGCTACATGACTATACTGTACTAGCAAGAGTGCTGAAAGTTGGCACTGAGATTCCGAGTTCGAGTACTCTGATTTTCTCCGATCGAATATTCGAGTATTCGAGTAATCTTCATCTCCTAAAAATTGCACACCAAGGGGCTTAAAATCACATGATGCAACCCTGATCGAACAGAGTAGTAGTCATTTTTCTCGGGTATATTGGTTGATGGGTCATTTGGGCTCTCTCTACTCGTGAACAAAATGTTCACCACACAGTCTGCTCATCAATATCTGCTGACTGCTGCTCTGAAACTGCAGATTTCTGTGGTAAATGCATGTACCAAGTATGAACGAGTACTCTGATTTATTCCGAGTACGATTATTTTTGAAAAAAACCGAGCGAGTACTCGAGTATTTGGTATAATTGTTTCAGCCCTAATCATAATACTCCAAGAGTGTGCAACTCTAGCATAATGTGTAATATGGGGTCTCCGAGTCCGAGGGCGAAAGCTCGCATGGCGTGTCTCTGTCCCAGGGGAAAATTGCGATTCCGCGGCCGCGTTTGTTTCCGCGTTTTTTGCGATTTTTTAAAAGACCGCGTTTTCCGCGATTTTCCCGCGTTTTTTGAACTTTTTTGTTGCACTACACGTACACACAGTGCACTGTTCGGTCAGCTGTTAACGTCTCATCGTGGCGGCTTTTTACTCAAATATGACGAGTGCTTACACCAGAGACTTGTAACTGATTGATTTCACTACATACTCACTGAAAATTGCCGCACATCAATATTATTCACCGCATATTTACCGCAAATTCACCGCAAATTATGCCATATTATGCTGCGTTTTTCCCCACGTTTTTTGCGATTTTTTTCCGCAATTTTCCCCGGGGACAGGTGTCTCAGGTGCGTTTTGTGCTACGTGCAACTAAGGATAGCATGCGCGCAATCCGGAAATCTGCCATGATCATGCCGGCGAGTTCATATGGGCAGTCAGTTTCTGCCAGGGAATGAAATAAATTGCTAATAATGGCAATACTTTTATTATTATTACTCCGTTGCTCGCTAGAAACGGGCTGGAAACGCAGGTACAACTGTGACACTACACATTGTGAGTTTTCGCCGTCGGCAAACCCCATAGAAAGGGTATCAGGAGTAGTACTTGTCAAGTAGTGTTGTAGGTTTTCAAATAGAGAGGGAGGGAGAGAGAGAGAGAGAGAGAGAGAGAGAGAGAGAGAGAGAGAGAGAGAGAGAGAGAGAGAGAGAGAGAGAGAGAGAGAGAGCCAGAGAGAGAGAGAAAGAGAGAGAGAGAGAGAGAGAGAGAGAGAGAGAGAGAGAGCCAGAGAGAGAGAGAAAGAGAGAGAGAGAGAGAGAGAGAGAGAGAAAGAGAGCCAGAGAGAGAGAAAGAGAGAGAGAGAGAGAGAGAGAGAGAGAGAGAGAGAGAGAGACAGCTGAGATAGAGAAATACAAGCATGGAGGGAGATGTAGAGATTGACAAAGAGTGAGAGACGGTGTATTATTATTATCATTGATATGAGCATATCACATGATGTGTATTTGGCTGATGACTGTGTGCAATGTTTTTGTTGTTGTTGTGATTCTATTTATAGTTATTCAACCAAACAGGCAATGGTGCCTTCGCACAAGGAGACGACTTAGGAGAGGAGAGGGCAGAAAGAGAATGGGGAGGGGAGAAAAACAGGCACGGAAGGGAGATAGAATGGAGAGGATATTGTGACATTAGTATGGATTAAGAAGCAGGTGTAAGCAATAATGAATTTATAGTGAAGTTTGGCTCAATGGAATCGGATCTTATGAATGCAGTCGCTCTCCTCCATCCAGAGGTCCAGAGCAGAGCCCAGTGTTCGGCGACTCGTACATGTAGCAGGGCTAGGGTTCTAACGCCGAATCACAGTGCCACTGCTTTCCACTAACGGCAATGACTGCCTACGTCACGCACATGCACTTTACTTTCAAGGGCTCTTCCGAACTACATGATTGTACAACATGCAAGTTAAATTAAAATTATTATTTTAAATATGTACATGTATTTGCATCTTAACTTGATACAATGAAGTACATTTCGCGCAAGCTCCACTGCAGCCACTTCATGAAAAACCCTACATACACTATCTTGAAGTATCTTCATATCAAGTGGTCTCTTCGCTGCAAATTACAATTATCTCAATCAAATTTTCTCCGGGCCGCAAATTTGATTGAGATAATCATTGTAATTTGAAGGGAAGAGACCACTTGATTTGAGGATACATGTAGTGTGTGTAAGGTTTTTTCATGCAATGAAGTACATGTGCACATTAATGGATCTTCAATAATAATAACTACATGTATAATGCATCTGCGCCTTGCAACTTGATCCTTGAAGGGTGATGGCGTTCCTACGGATGCGGAAAACTCGGCCTCTATATAGAGAAACCGAGTCTCACGCGAACCGTGAAATTAAATTATTTTTATTAATGACTTGACCTTGCTGTGCGTGTGTGTGCTGTGTCGGAGGACCTTACATCCTACCACTCTGTACATTGTACATGAACTTAAAACATTGGTCCATGACATAATCTGAATGTGATTGCGCACTGGGCGTTCATTCACATCAATCACATGTACGGTACAAATCGAACGTTAAACGTTATTCTTTTAATACATTTTAAATTTTATTAGTGCAATTAGGAGTATAATCGATGCAGACATGGCCAGACAACAACGAGTTCATGGAATTTTTAAGGATTTTTATGTTATTCAAAATCGATTTTCGTGTTCCGCTCATCAGTGAATAGTATCGGCACTGAAGGTACTGTGTACAAAAATAGAACATTTTATAACAGCATAATTAATTAAAAGTGTGAACAACAAAGGAAGTGCTACAGCATTACATAATAGGTGTCAAACATAGTGCTAACGTATATAACTGAGTGCAGCCACAAAGCAAGAGGTGATACAGTGCAACATGACACAACATTTACATCTGATAACCAGCTACGAGAACAACTTTAGCGCGACTACATGCTTCTTTTGTTTACAAAGAACAGAGAGAAAATGTTCTTTGTTGTACACAGTACCTTCAGTTCCGATACTATTCACTGATGAGCGGAACACGAAAATCGATTTTGAATAACATAAAAATCCTTAAAAATTCCATGAACTCGTTGTTGTCTGGCCATGTCTGCATCGATTATACTCCTAATTGCACTAATAAAATTGCTTTCTCCACGCCGACATTTTAAATTGTTTTAGGTTTTAGTTGCATTTCTACTATTGATCAAAATGGTATTTTTGCTCATACAATTAAGAGGCTTGAATAAAAAAAATAAAGAAAACCTTATTCATTGTCAATGACACGTGCGCTGGTGGTCCCGAAGACTTGATAAATGTCTGTAGGACTGGGTGCACTGTTCGCATGTATAGGGACGTTCTCCTGTGTGTTTACGTTCGTGCACACGTAGAGTGTCTGGACGCGCGAAATGCGCGCCACATGTCTTGCATGTAAAGAGTCGTTGTCCCGTGTGGATTCGTTCATGCTTATGTAGAACGGCGGATTGCGTGAAAGACATGCCACATATCGTGCAAGTGTGCAGTCTCTCTCTGATATGGATACGTTTATGTTGCCGTAAATGAACTGACTGAGGGAAAGACTTGCTGCATACGTCACACTTGAATGGTCGCTCTCCAGTATGAACGCGCGTATGCCGACGAAGTAGAGACGCGTACTTGAACTGTTTGGGGCAATGCTGACAACTGTGTGACGTTTTATAATTGGTAGGCTGTTCCTGATCCTGTTCCAAAGTCGTCATCCGAGAAGGGACAGAGGTTGGTCGGAGGGGATGACTGCGTTTACCTCGTGTGTCATACGCGTAGGGGTGCTCCATCGTGGCACGCTTACTGTCTCCAGAGCCGTCAATGTCTGGCGTTGTACCAGGAGACGATATCTTCATACTTATGTTATGCAAAGGATTTTCACGCGATACTGGATTATTATGTCCGCTGAACGTGAAAGCAGAAGGCGAGTCCTGCCCGTTTCCCTTTCCCATCGGTGTACCAGCCGTGGCTTCAAGTCTTTCGTCTTTGCGTATGTTTCTACATATCGTTTTGAAAGCTGGTTGATGGTCTAAGGTACTGGCGGAGATTATTGTGTTCCTCGTCCATTTCATCAATGGCGGAGCAGGAGCGGGAGTCAGGTGAGTATACTCCGCGTGCAGGACAATCGTGTCTACACTTTCTTCCATCGTAGCGGATCTCGTAGACGACTCTTTCTCCATGTCTTTTTCGCGAATGTTTGACTCACGGACTGGTGGAAGAGACGATGAATCATGCTTTTTCGAACTTTGGTTGGTTGGTTGGTTGGTTTTTATTTCACTTCGCACATTCAAACGGGATGACGACCCAATAAAATGACGGCGAAGGCTTAGCCTAGAAGTGGCTATTTAGCCTAGAAGTGGCTATGGAAGAACATAGTAAAAGCTATGGAAGCACATAGTAAGAGAATAGAATACTAATAACTGCGGGTAAACGGGGGGAGAGAGAGAATACGATGTATCTGTGATACTACGTGCGGGTTACTGAACTGCACGGGGAGGGAGAGCAGAGCAATCAGCAGCAACTCGAACTACTCCCTACAGGCGTATGGTACACAACTTTCGTTCAGTATATTCCTCTTTGATGTAATCACTCGCAGTTTGGAATCTAAACTGCACTCAGGCTTCAAATCCTCAAAATCTTCCATTCCTCACTGAATTGGCACAACTCCGGTGATGGAAAATTAGTTGCAGCAATGAACTACTCACAATGTTGAGGAAGAAATTAGCCAACCACCAATACTACTTGTGACAAATTCAGGCATTGGAGCAAACTAAATTTGCTGAATGGATCGCCTCTTGCCCTCCTTGGCCTTGTTATCGTGTGCGAGTGTGTCAAAAGAAATGCTAGGTGACATTATTGTTTGCTATGTCGCAGCCCGCCAGGTGTGACAATTGAACGTTGGATTTCCACCTCAAGTGCACACTGTGGACAGACTACAAGTCACGTCCACGGCTGCTCGGCATCATTTGACGCCAATCCCTCATTTTGGTTACCAAAGAGCCAAAGTTGTAAACATTAGCACTTTCTTGGCTGTATCTTTAACTTAATACACCGTGCGAAAGATCATTGGATTCATCATACGGAACGTGCTAGACCAGTAAATTTAAAAAAAAATGTTGTTCTCCTCCTTTTTTTAAAAGCCTCTTATATGGTCAATCACAAAACATGAGATCACTGGCCTGACGCAACAACTAAAGAAAAAGAAAAACAAAACAATTGTTTTTAAATGTTATCCTCCTACAATGTGCACGGTGACCCATTTTCACAATACAGCCGTATGCAGTGTGGACCACAAACATGCTAACATCGATGCAAGAAGATAGACAGGCGTGAACGCTGCTTTTCACGCTATATCTGGACAGAAATTGATGGCGACATTCTTTCACACTTAAAAGCAGGGAGTAGTACAATTATGGTATTGTACTACTCCCTGCTTAAAAGTGACAAACAAAGGCGCGTTCAATTCGTACTCAAGAGGCTTTAACAGACTCAAGTACATGATTGTAACCAAATCCGTGAATCTGCCATGTTTCGGAGTCGACGTTCCCATGTCGAAATAGGGCGGATTCACATAAGATTAAGAGGGTAACAATTGAAACATGGCTTTGTTTGTCACTATTTAAAAGTGCAAAAGCATTTCGCAACAAAGAGGTTCGACATAAATGTACATGTACATTATTGTATTGTAGGGGATTAACACCACTGGCCGTATAACGGGCAACGTAATGTGGTTTGTAAAGCATAACATTGCACGACAATGATTCTGACTTTCTAACTCTTCCCGCCAATCAGCTTTAGCATGTCTTGGATGCGCACCCCAATAGACTTCCAACTTGCACGATTCGAATATTCTTACAAGTAATTAAATGAATGGCATACACTGTAGTAGGGGAATGGCATGAGCTGATTGTCCAGTAACTGGGGGTGGTAGCGGACATTGTAGCGTAACTTGTAGTTCCTTGGTCCTTTTCTTTTTTCCATAATTGACGAGATGATTTGTCGAAGACGAATAACGTTCATTAATCCTCACCCTCTCCACGTGTTTCATTCATAACTGGTTACATTTTGTCCTGCTCCTTTTTTTACCATAATTAATTATTGGCTCGCCATCCGAGGTCAACTTTGCACACCTGATGAGCCGTCATGACCTATACGGCGAAACGTACAATGTACGTCGTGTGTAACTACCGTACTTGTTATTGTACATACATGTACCAGGGAACTTCTTACTTTTTTATATATTTTTTACTTAGGCCACAGCTTCCAATCATGACATGCAAAGCAGCGGTGCAGCATCGCAGGCATGAATCGTGGACGTGGTGACGGGGTCTGATGTGCTCCACCGACCTAGGGTCTCGGCTTCACTGCACAGCTAACGCGTCGAAAGAAAACGGGGGGCTAATAATTATCGGGAGATGGGGGGGGGGGAGAAGAAGAGAAGAAGGAGAGAGAGAGAGAGAGAGAGAGAGAGAGAGAGAGAGAGAGAGAGAGAGAGAGAGAGCGAGCGAGAGAGAGAGAGAGAGAGAGAGAGAGAGAGAGAGAGAGAGAGAGAGAGAGAGAGAGAGAGAGAGAGAGAGAGAGAGAGAGAGAGAGAGAGCTGGGAGATAGAAGAGCACAGCAGTGCTCTTGGTGATGGGGACTGTGAAGGATAGCAGGTTCTGGGACATGTGCATGAGAATCAGAATATTGGTGATAATGGCAGCAGGGTTATAAGGTAAGCAGCTGAACACTAATAAGAACAAGGAAAGCGTTGGCGAGCAGATTCAAATTGCACCGCACCAGTAGCAGAGAGCCAGTCCTGAGCAAGAAGGTGACGGTACACCTTTGTCTTGAAGCTTTGCATGTGGGGCTGGGCGGGTGGGTGGTGGAACAGGTCTGGTGGCAGGGCTTATTATACCTTTTCACTGATGGTCCTTTATCACTGTCTTTTTCTCACTGAAGCTCCTCATTGTTGTTTTTTTACCAGGCGTGGGCCATCCCCTGATTTCATAGGTGCCAAACATTTTTACGTTTAACAAAAAAGAACGTTCGGGGGTGGTAAAAAAATACATACCAGGTAACTAGTCCATCAAATTTACATGTACATGATAGTGGAGTTCAGTAGGATGTTGGCGTTTCGGTTCGCCACAATTCGTCTTCGCTGAGCTTCCCCTTTCTATGTTTATTCGAGTTGTAGTAATACCGGTACATGTACATGTATGTCCAATAGTCCTACTAGTGCCGTCATCATCCAGTAACTATCGGCATTCTTTGCTGCCCTGGGACGTACAAGTAGCGCGTACTCTTCTTCGTTGCCCTTTCCTTCCCCTCTTGGACCTTTCCTAACCTGAGCCTTCCAAGTTGGAAGGTTGTTGGTTTGCGCCTTGGAGAGGTGTTGGAGCTAGGTGTCAGGTCGCCGAATGTCTCAGTACTCCTTGTCAGTTTTGTGCCATTTTGTCGCACTCGCTGACTGTATAAGATCTGTTTACGTTGGTGGACAGTTAGTCATAACTCGTGAAATTGACTCACCATGCGAGTTCAACATTTTATAGTAGGCCGAGTATAACGCCATAGCGGTGCAAGGCGCAAAGTACTTTGGTTTGTAAGCCACTGAGATAATATCAGTATACTCCATTATGATCATTAACCATCAAAGCATTACCCACTACTATAATTAGTTCGCTACACTATTGTAGGCTCGGGGCACATTCTGCATTCCCTTTGCTGGTGTGAGGTCCACTACCCACTCATAGTGATGAACATCGAGGAAAAGAAGTGTAAATAAGGACAACTGATTTTGCCACATCTCCAGAATATCGACGACGTGCCACATAGCGAGTGACCGGTATAGACTGACTGTGATTACGTCATAGCGCGTTTGTGAGACAAACTGAATACTGGACAGAAAAGGTAAACAAAGAGAAAGGATGAAAAGCACAGTTCAGAGACCACGTCAAGGGTTACGTCAGCGAGACTAGCACAAACATTGCTGCTCTTTCGATGAAATCAACCTGAAACAGCACGAACACAATGCACACGTAGTCGTAAGTCAGAGTTTTACTTTACAACTATATAATCCTCAGAAGGTCCCCCAAATATTTGAGGGTTAATTTAACGCGAAAATATTTTGTAGAAAAGGGAGAAGGACAAAAATGTTACGAGTTATGACTAACTGTCCGCCAACGTAACCAGACCATATAGTTATTATTCAGTCAGCGAGTGCGATAATTTTTATTTCGTCTTACAAGTACCTTACAATGTCCCAATGTTGTTTCTGTTGTTCATTTCTTACTAATACCCAGCACGCTTACGACTGCCCAAGTCACTCACCATCCAAGAACAAGCAATTAGCAAGTTTCACAACAAACATTTATACGATTGGACAATTGTAAGACCTGGTGAAAGCGCCCTCTGGTTTTAGCGACCACCTGCTCTTAACAACCGTTTCTTCCATGCACGGACATGTCTACACTGAAACTGTTGGACCTGGTTCTAAAGACCACCTGGCGTTAACGACCGCTTTTGCTTGCACCGTGGGGTGGCCGCTTAAACCAGGTTTTACTGTACACACAAACACAACAAAACAATCTACTGTATAACGCTCCTTGCCTTCGGCAAATTGAGCCCTCTACGGACGGTCGATGAACCGCACATAGTGTACAATGCTAACTCGGAGGGAGTTGTGGTTGATCGCGACATTGCTCAATACACCAAGGCGCAGAGCCTAGCACACACACTTGAGAGGAATCAGCAGCAGCAACAGCAGAAACGCTTTTGATTCCTCTCAAGTGTGAGTAGTGTACACTGCCATCACAAAAGGTTCTAAACAACATGCAGGATTAATTTCTGATGTTGCATAAGAGATGGGAGACTGCATGCCGGTATAGTACCACCGAATGATACAAGTTTATAATCAACAATCCCTTCGCACAATATCTACGATCAGATCAAAGTAATCCATTTTCAGACCAAACGAAATGCCAGGATTATTCACAACTGCTTTAATTACTTGCAGCACTAGTGCGTTGTACAGTAAGACGAGACTATGGACCAGAACACAAAATATACATGCAGAACTGCATAATGCACGTCAGAATGCAATCCTGGACTATCATGGTCTATCGCGTGCTTGAATACGACCAAGGTGGTGCATCATGGAGTGCTACGAATACACGCACACACACAAACACACACACGCACACACACACACGCACACACACACGCACGCACACACACACACACACACACACACACACACGAAGAGAAGAAATGCATTGCGCGCATAGTGAAACAGTTACTAAAGATTTTGAGGGTCGTTAAATTAATTTTCATGCATGTGATGATTACGCTCGTGTCTGCGAAGGCTTGAAGAATGCCAGAAACCTTTTGCGCACTCTCCGCACATATACGGACATTCTCCTGTATGTGTATGTTCATGGTCACGTAGATACGATAGCCGTGTGAATGACCTTTCACATGTCTTGCATTTAAAAGGTCTTTCTCCAGAATGGACACGTTCATGCTGGCGTAAATGGCAATACGACTTGAACGACTTGCCACATGTCCCACATGTGTGCGGCCTCTCTCCGGTATGAGTACGTTTATGAACACACAAGGTGCTTGATTGAGTGAACGTCTTGCTGCATACAGTACACTTGAATGGTCGCTCTCCAGTATGAATACGTTCGTGCTCACGGAGGTGAGAAGCTGTCTTGAACTCTTTTAGGCACAACGGACACGCGTGTGATGACTCACCCTTAGAACACTGGTCCTGATCCAGAATTTGAACCACAACCTTAGAAGAGACAGAATCCAGCCCGATAGGATGACTACGGTCAACGGGTATGGCATAAGCATGGAGTTGCTCAGATGTTTCGTTTTTCCTATCAGCAGAATCTTCAACATCCGACGTTGTGCCTGCCGAAAAGACCTTCTTTCCAACCTTGAGCACCGGCTTCCCAGGCGATACTCGCTTCTCGTATCCGCTGAAGGTTGACGAGGAGTTCTCCGCGACTTCCATTCCAGGCGTTGTACCAGACGTTGCTGCATTCCTGTCCCTTTTGCGGGCGTTTAGAAATGTCGTTTTGAAGCCTGGTGGAATGTCAGAAGTACTGGCTGAAATTTCTGTGTTCTTCATCAATTTGATCAATGGTGGAGGAGAGGCAAGAATAAGGCGTCTGGTATACTCGGGGGGCATAAGACGCTTGAATTCCCCGTCTTCCAATGAAGCGGGTCTCCTACGTGACGCCTCCTCCACGTTTTCTTCGGCAGTGTTTATCTCAGTCGATGGCAGAACAGACGATGGGCCATACTGTCTAGGACTTCGGACGACCATATTCCTCTTTGACTTCATCAATGGTGGCATAGGCGGTAGTTTACTAGAATCTATACTACAGTCAGACGTCGACTCCTCCGTGTCTTCCATTTCTGCAACAACTCTAGAAGAAGGAAAATTCAATTTGACCAATCCACGGCTTACAAAGTCAAAGCAAGAAAGAACGAACCTCCAATATCATTCATTATTGCTCTACGCAGAGGAAAAAAAACCCTTTTCTTATAGGGTTGCAGCTTGCGCATTATTATCAAGTTATAGTGCGTCAAAAGAACGTCTGGGTGTTAAGTCCTCTGCCATGTCGCAGCCCGCTGCCATGTCGCAGCCCTCTGCCATGTCGCAGCCCGCCATGTCGCAGCCCGCCATGTCGCAGCCCGCCATGTCGCAGCCCGCTGCCATGTATGAAAATTGTAAGAGCAACTTGATGCAGTTACCTAACCGCGGCTTTGGACAGACGAGGAGTCAATTCCACGGTTGTCCAAAATCGCTGGACACCTATCCTGCAATTTGGTAAGCAAAGAACCAAAGTTATCGACACTGCCATGGTTTTCTGTTACATTCTGCGAGAAACGATTTTATTGATAATTTTAAAGGAAATTTCTAGTCCAGGTGCCACCTCCTACCATGTCTACGGTGAACTGTTGTCACTGTCAGACTGTAGGTATTGCACACGTTATTTCATAGTTTGGTTAACACAGTCACTAGCGCAGGAAGTTTTCAACGCCGAAACAGGTAGAGAAAAAGAACCCAAGAAACTTCAATGCGCAAGTTACGCTATAACGTCCACTAACACCACCAGTTACTAAACAATCAGCTCATGCGATAACATTGCACGACACTGACCGACGGTACTGACGTTCTACAACCTAACTGGCTAACAGCTCTAGCACGTCTTGGATGCGCACTCCAACAGCCTTCCAACTTGGAAGGTTCTAAGTTATATGTACATGTACATCGAAGTACATGTATAACACGGAGGGGAAGGTGAGCGCAACCAAGACAAGCAGGAGCTGAAAGTCTCAGCTGTGAAAGACGTTGGCGGATATACATGCATGGCGATGACGATACTGGCAAGACCATTGGACAAGAAGGTCCCCCCCCCCGTCCTTCACCGCTGAGACTTTCAGCTCGTGCTTGTCTTTGCGCTCACGTTCCCCTCCTACGGCTGACGACTGCGTGCCATAATGAATGATATTATTGATAGTGAAGTTTGGCTCGGTGGATCTTACATGTACATGTATGACTGCAGCCGTCCTCCTCCAGAGCCAAGGTCCAGAGCAGAGCCCAGTGTTCCGCTACTGTTCGCAGCAGGCCCAGGGAGGGTTCTGACGCAGAGTGACCCTGCCACTGCTTTTCACTAGAATCGATACCTACGTAATGTACATGCACTTGACTTTCAAGGGTGCTTTCGAACTACAACTTGCAATAGTTAAAATTATTACGTGTCATGTATTATTTTTGAACTTGATACAAATTCATGATACAGTGAAGTAAATCATTTAAAAATTGGTACATGACATGTAATCTGAATGTGATTGCGTACTGAGCGTGCATTCACCGTGTACGACACCTGTGCCTGTGTACATGTACATGTGCCTGATACATGTACCTGACAGGATGTCTTCACCCTCAGAACGAGTACAGGATCCGAGGAGAAGACTGAGCGCCAGAGAACTGATGGCCCGGACAGTGGTATTTCCCGCAGTCAAAGATATCGAGGTGGCCACCTACGTGCAGTGCCTGGAAAAGCATGGAATCGAGGCTGAGGCGATCCTGTCTGTACAGGTGAGCTCCTCCGGGCAGTGCAGAATAACCTTTACGGAATCCTCATTAGCCATTTTGGTGTCCAAGAACGGCTTCGTGCTCAATGAACGGCATATTTCCCCGGAATGTTTGGCGGGTACCCCCAACGTCCAGCTCCATATTCACGACATTCCTGTGTGGGTGAGTGATGGAGCCGTAGAAGCTGCACTTTCCCAGTACGGTACGGTGCAGGGTGCCATACGACATGGCAGACTCAAAATCCGGGATGGCGTTTTCATTGCGACAGGAGTGAGGTTTGCCACCTTCAAACTTGGCACAAACAAGACCGTACCATCGTACGTGAAATCACGGGACGGGAAGAGCAATTTCCGCGTGTACCATGCTGATCAAACACCCACATGCAGGCTATGCAACAAGCCAGGGCACATCGCCAAGGACTGCCCGGAAAATACTCAAATAAGCAAATCAACCACCAAGACTTCGTCCAACAACAGAGCTGTAGACTCATCCTCCGAACATAAAACCAAAAACAACACCAGCCTTCTCTCCACCGAATCTGAGCGAGCGGAGGTACTTCTCTCAGACATAGTTGCCAACCGACAAGGTAACCAACAAGGCAAGGAATCTGATAGCGAATCAGACGATGACCATCAGTCAAGCTCCTCCGAGCCAGAAGACTTTGGTGCTACGCCAAACAACTCAGATCATGAACCGCTGGGCCAAGCAGTAGCATCAAACCAGACCACAAATGTCCACCATCAACACCGACCACCGGCTCAAGACTGCAATTTCGATTCATGCGAAGGCGAAGTCAACTTGGGCAACTCCAAGCGTTTGCGCCCGAGTGTCACCCCCGACAGACCTGAGGATAATGGCATGAGATCACGGAATCGCAAGAAGAGAAAGCAGCCCCCAGGAAGTGCATCACGGTGCTAGCGGCCTCTCCATCGAATCGAAGAAAAAGAACAAGCCAACAGGAATCAACTCGCAATGCCAGTAGTAAGTCACTATACTACTTTGCTAGTCCTTTCATTTCTTTCAATACTCATGCTTAATCCTCACGCACAATCTTTTCTCCCCCACAATGCTACGCAATCAGATCATGTTTCATACGAGCGCTCTTTCTGCGGGACAAGCAAGTTCAATTTCCTGAGCTTCAACGCTCGCAGCTTGTTCAACAAAATGGACGAGATTGCGCAGGTAGCCATAGAAAAGAGACCCAGTCTCATCGCCATATGTGAAACTTGGGCAAACCCCCTAGAGCCAGACTCTCTATACGAACTCCCCGACTACTCCCTTTATAGGCATGGTCGGCAGCACTGTAGAGGCGGAGGAGTCGCCGTGTATGTTGTTGTTGTTGTAGAAGTTTATTTAACGTCGCACCACAAACAGGCGATTTCGCCTCCTTTGATACATGTGGACGACAGAAGGAATGAGAGAGAGGGGGGGGGACAGAAGTATGGAGAGAGGAAGGGTAGAAATAAATAAGCAATCAACCTCAGGGCTACACCAAAGCAAAAACGGAATGGGAACATACTATATACAAAATAGCTTCATACATATATTGCAAAACACGTTTACTATTCTTCAGTCCGCTATACCACAGAAACACACTAGCCGAAAAGCATTTAAACGGAGCCATGATGCGCTTTTAGCAGGGCACAGAACTGAAGGTGGCTGGGCTCGGAACGGAGATCAGGCGGGAGCTGGTTCCACACGACTGCGCCGATGAACTGCATGGTCGCTCGACCCGCAGGACCGGGCCAAAATGGTACTCGAACGAGGTGATGTGCTGCTCCCCGAGTGCGGTCACCAGTAACTCTCACGAAGAAGCTGGTGAAGAGGGAGCTAGCTCGGGAGAACAGACAACGACGGACAAAGATGAGGAGCTTAATGTTAAACATGTCCTCCAGGGTGGTGAGGCGGAGCTGTTCAAAGATCGGGCTCGTGCGCGACCACGGTGGCAGACCGAAGAAGCCGCGGATAGCGCACTTCGTTAGACGTGTGAGGGGCTCCATGTTGCCAATTTGAAGTGACGGATAAAAGGCGTTGGAAGCGTACGACAACCTACCCTGGATCATCGACCTGTAAAACAGGATCTTTGACGCCAGGGTGAGGCTTCGGCGGCTCCGCCACAGCGCACCTACTGACTTCCGCACCTGCTGGATTGTGTGATTGACGTGAGGCTCCCAGGAGAGCTGCCCATCTACCATTACGCCCAGGTACCGCGCTTGTTCCACAACTGCAAGGGCTGCATTCCCACAGCGAATTCGAATGTTATCTGTGTCAGGGGCTGGGCCTCTTGGGGTAATCAACAGAGCTTGCGTTTTCTTTTGGTTCAGCATTAGCCCGCGGTCCTCCAACCACTGCGACAGGCCAGTGATGGCTGTGCTTAGAGAAGAGCACACTTGTTCGCAACTGCCCGAGGCTTCAATTGCAATGTCGTCTGCAAATTCCTGGTTTGTGACCTGCTGGGGCAAGCAGCATCGAAGGTTACGGATGTATAGTGTGAACAGGAGGGGGCCGAGGACGGATCCTTGCGGCACCCCTCGACTGCATGCGACGTGTTCCGAGCAATTTCCGCCCACGACTACGCGTTGAAGCCGCTCACTCAGGTAACTAGTGAACCATATCTGGACAGTACCGCCGACCCCAATGTCGGATAGCTCCTGTGCCAAGATGGTGTGTTTGACACAGTCGAAAGCCTTCGACATATCCACGAATATCACACCTGTGAGTTTGCGCTCATACTTCGCTTTCAGCCAGCGATTGACAGCTAGCACAAGAGCGTCCTCCGTACTGTGGTTCTTCCTGTACGCGAACTGCGAGTCAGGGAGAATACTGTGATCGGTCAGAAAGGATGTAAGCTGAGCTTTGACGATCTTCTCGAGGAGGCGAGAAACGACTGGTAGTAGAGAAATAGGTCGATACGCAGTAGGCTGACAAGGGTCAAGGCCGCCACCTTTGAATAGCGGCGACACATTAGCAATTTTAAACTGACGGGGAACACACCCCTGACATAACGAAGTATTGAAAATGATGCTGAGCGAGGGAGCCAGTATTGATGCCGAGTTTCTAAGGACAATACCCGGCAAGTCATCATGTCCAGTTGCTTTTGACGCGTCAACGGACTGGAGAAGGGCCGTAATGTCCTCCGTCGAAACAGGCGCAAATTCCGTGAATGCTGGTGCTTCACGTTCGGCTGGTGCGTTGGCGCACAGCGCGTCTGGTCGTCCAGGGTCATGTACAACTTCGCCAAAAGTTCGGGAGAGGATTCCAACAGGTACTTGTGGTGGGCTTGAACTTTTCGCTCGTCCAGTCACCACGTTTATCGTATTCCAGAGCTTCCGTCCATCCTTTCCGGCCGACTGTAGGCGAGCTTGAAAATACTGATCCCTTAGCCTCCGATCTAGCTTGCGCGCGGCTGCGCGGAGAGTGCGGTGTTGCTCTCGCAGGCGGACATCGTTTGGA